TGAATGTGGCTCGCTCCTCATGTTCTGCCACAGCAGACGGCGGCTCAGGAGACAGGGCAGATGATCGGTATTGGGGTTGAGAAGCCCGTCGATAGTCGTTGACCATGGATTCGGGCGCTTTCCTCATCTGCAAGCGTTGGGTTGGCGCTCGGTTAGGCCTCGAGAGAGCACCGTGAATCGTTGCGATTTCCTTCACCTCACGACGAACTTTGCGCATCACACTCGCTCCATTGACCGTCTTAGTCCGACTGCCAGAGTTGAACGATAGAGAGTTAGAGTGTGCCTCGCGTGGCCCGCCGAAAGGCCTCTTGCCTCCCCCTAGCTTGACTGACTTTGGCAGCAGCTTGCGCTCAATGATTCGGCTCGTATTCTTCTCCTTGTCCTGTCTCAGGCCGGCTAGTGCATTCTTCAGCTTGTTTTCGCTCTCCTCAAGTGCCGCGTCGTGGTCCCTTTTGTACTTTTCCCACACTCGATACCACTTGTCCGGGTTCTGCGGTTTGTATGCCTTGGCCTTGTATTCGAGAGGAAAGTCCTTTTCAATCAGCTTCAGCCATATCTCGCCTGTGTGCCCCTGGATCTGTGGAGAGCTGAGCTCAATCTGTCGAAGCTGATGGGCGCTTTCAATCTTGAGAAGAAGGTGGCGAACTGCCTCGTAGGGCAGGTAGTCTCCTATACTGCCTAGCTCCTTGAGGTTCTTCAGACAAGCCGCTGTAGCAAGCTCAGACAATGACTTGACAGGCATATTGACAATTTATAAGTTTTGGCCTCTTGATGCGTTAAATGTAATGGTGATATTGGTATCGCTGGAGGGTTGGCACAGCGAGGCGATGTTGTTGCGGATGTACGATGTTTCATTGTCTGCTGGAGGGGGGGCTGGGCATGGTCTATTTTAGCACAGGTGGTCTTCTCGCATATCAGACTAAAAAACCGGTCTCACCCTAGTATCTTTCTCGTGCTAGTTCTAGAGTTCCTGAGACGAATTATTGCGTCGGGGCATCGTAGCCATTGTGCGTTGCACATGACGAATGATGGCTGTAGACAGGGCGATGAATACAGGCTCAAGATGGTGAGGCGCTGGACGATCGTTTTATACCCAGGTGCCAGTTGACCACCGAGCACTTGAGGGGAGAAGGGTGACATGGAAGGTCAAATCCATTGGTCCTGTCTGTGGAACCAGTGAATCAGTGACTCCCGGGCCCACAAGCTTTTTTAGTTCATCACAGCCAGCCAATAGTCTTGGCGTCATCTTTTGCTTGTTGCATTTCGTCACACCCAAGATGCTGCCTGTTTTCCAACAATCATCAACCTACGATCTCGCCTCGCGCACCATCAAGCCCGACACTCCCAATCCTGTGCGCGGCACTAACCATGGCGGAATCAAATTTTATCAAACCCGACCCAGAGGATGAAAAGGTCATGCCGCCTGCAATGGCCATGGAGGAGGACGAACTCTTTGAAGACGCTGGCGACCTCGAGTTCTATGACAAGACCACCCTAGGCAACACCTTCGAAACCCTCTATCTCGCGCGCGTGCCAAAGTACATGTGGGATGCGTGGTTGAAGCTTACTGAGAGGTTAGGCGATGATGATGAGATCCAGATTGGCACTCTGCGGACGTGGAATGAACGAGTACCCGATGCGTCGATTGAGGGCGGCACCCGTGACGTGACCAAGCTTCGTATGCTCCTGCAGGCCAACTGCCCTGAGCACCAGATGCTCCCTCGCGAGTATGACTTGGAGATTCTGGATAGGGACGTCAAGAATCACTTTATATTCAGCGAGGAGGACCTGCCGGGGTATAAGGAGAAGAACAAGGCGCGTGCGGAGGCTGCCGCCGCGGGCATACCCCAATCACTGTTGCGACAAAGGCAGAACCAGGGAGCCGAGCGAACTGAGAGGACGTTTGATCGGAGAAGTCGATATCAGCCGTACTACCGAAAGGCTATTCCAAGTAACTATGGCCCCTGTCTGTTGACCAGGGCCTACTGAAACAAGGATTGCTAACCCGCAACAGAAAAGACAAAGATCTTTGGCAAAATCCACTACGATGTTCGCGTCGAACCTCGAAACATCCGAGAAGAGGAGCGCCTGCTTGCTCAGCGGCTACTCGACGCCGAGAGCTCCAAGACGAAGCTTCAAATCATCAGCAGGAACAGCGCATCCGCCATCATTAACCCAGGCACTGCAGGCTCAGCTACCTGGGGTGGAGGCTTCATCGTATGCTTTTTAGTTCCGGTTCTCCGGTCCCTTCATCGGGTGCCTTGCTAATGAACGACAGAAAAACGCACCACCGACTGTCAAGGCCAAAAAGGGCGAAGTGTTCAAGGCTGCTCGCATTCCCAAGAACCAGCTATTGGATCTCATCTTCGACTGCTTCCGTCAGTATCAGTATTGGTCCATGAAGGCATTGCGGCAAAAGCTGCAACAGCCAGACTCCTATCTGCGCCAAGTGCTCGAAGAGGTGGCTGTGTTGCACAAGAGCGGCCGCTTTGCGAACCACTATGGCTTGAACGACGCCTACAAGGACAAGGCTGGCAATGAAGCCAAGGAGGAGGCTGCCGAGGCTGTTGACGACGGGGACGACGATGAAAATGAAGAGATGGAAGATGTTTTGCCAGCATAATAACATGCCGAGGAGACATAAATTTTCAGAGAATATGGACTTGTGCCTAAAGAAAAGCGTGGGAGCCACCCGCGCACCGATTTTTTACGGCGTTTTTTGGTGTCCCATTTTTACACATTTCTGGCAGGTAATAATTAGGCCATGCATACCCTGAATAGATTGGGTCTCGGAGGTTTACATTAAACAATATCATTTGGTTTTACTGAGCAAGCTGCTGTCGATTGAGATGTGAACGATTGACGTTGGGAAGTACTGTCGAATTCACCCAACCACCACCAGCACGCGCACCTGATATTGAGCCTAGCTAGACCTCGCGTACCTGACTATGTACAGCCAACACTAGACTAATCTTGCATATTCCATCTCACAAACGTCTTCTATACTCTGCCGCAGCCATGCATTCAAAAGACTGTTGCCGTGCTACTAGAATACTTTGTGGGGGAAGTGGAGATGCGGCCAACATTGAATGTTGCTTGTGCTCGCAACCCCCATCTTTTCCAACTCCAAACAATCAACACCATTGACAGCATGCCATGCTCACATGCCGCACCATACAACGCAGTTTCATGTCCACAATGCGGCTCATCCTGGACTTTGACGGCACAATCACCCAAAAAGATACTATTGGAGAACTAGCACAAGCCGCCATTGACCTTCAACGCCGCCGTACAGGGCGGCATCTACAACCGGTATGGGACGACGCCGTGCAAGCCTATCTCAAAGACTATGAGTCCTACAAGGCAAATTTCTACCCCCCGGAGGCATCGAGAAAGGATATAGAGGCAGAAACAGACTTTTTAGCCGGGCTGAAAGACATTGAAGAAGCGTCCTTGTCCAGAGTCTCGCAGAGTGGCATCTTTGCAGGCCTACAAAGAGACGATTTCTTTCACATGGGTGTCGACGCCGTCTTGTCTGGACGTGTTTCCAAGACTGAAGGATTCGAGGAGCTGTTACAGTCTGCCGAGAGTAAGGGCCTGAAAGTCAACGTGACGTCGGTCAATTGGTCCAAGGCGTTTATCGAAGGCGTCCTGCACCCGCAGCATCTCGGCGTCGCTGCCAACGACATTTCTGAAAAGGGAGAAATCAAAGGCCCCCGGAGCCTAGGTGGTGTCAGGGTAACAACTTCACCCGACAAGCTGAATGCCCTGCGGCAAATCACGCAGACCGACCAGCGGGTGTTGTATTTCGGCGACTCTACAACAGATTTGCAGTGCCTCCTCTACTCTCATGGCGTCATCATCGCCAAGGACGCAACATCATCACTGCTCAGCACACTCTCCCGCATCGGCATTGACGTCCCACACATTGGAAATCTGCAGAACCACCCGCATACCAAGCTTTTCTGGGCCCGCGACTTCCGAGAGGTGCTTGCAAGCGGTGCCCTGGAACAAGGACAATAACGCGTTTGAACGGCCAAGCACCATGCAATATCAGCCCATATCCACAGAGCCCGCATCCACAAAGCCCGCAGAGCCGACATCCAACATTGAAACAACACAGCGGTCGTTGGCCATACTGCGAACGCTGGAGTGGGCACCCCCGCAACTCTGTCAAAGTCCAGAAGAACTGCACCGCCCGGGAGAAGCGCTGCAGTGGGACAAAAGTGAAATTCAATAGTGCAAGGACTCGCCGACGAAACCCCGTGGCCGAATCACCCGGCATTACAATAAGACGATGGTTGAGCCGCAGGTTCCGACATCGTAATGCTGAGCATCGACGAAATCAAGGATTTGGCATTTTGTCCATTTCAAGCGGGGATCTATTGCTGGCTAGGGAAAAGTAAGATGGGGAGAGTATATTCCATTTTGCCTGTACGTACACCGTTATATGGCATTAAGAGAAATTACAGGGATTTAATGTTATACCCGTCAGCTCACAACTCAGCAGGAACAAGCATTTGAAGTCTCTTGATATAGCTTTGAGTGACTGTCGTGGAGCCTAATGATATGACTGATAACGCGAAGAGCAAAAATGTGCAGGACGGGCATGGTTCTTGGCTTACGATGATTTTAGCTTGACGATTCCTCTCCTGCAACATAAAGAGTTGCAGGAAATCGTCACCATATTGAACCTGTCCTGCCTCGAAATTCCGAAAGATATAATTCCTCCTCACAAAAAAGCACATTAGCTGGGCCTCAGCATGAGACGCGTTGAAACTTCCCTCTACACCAGCCTTATCACGACGGTCTGATTCAAAGAAAAAGCCTATGGCTTCGGCGATGACAAAATTCTCAACCCCTCCCCAATATCCTTCATTTAATCTCAAATACCCGGCCTCTGGCGACCTAAACTCGGAGTGTACGGGATTGGTCCTGCCGCTTACTGCGACTACCGGGGGGAAATCATCGCCGCGAACAAGAACGGCCGCAGTCTTGGATTAAGTAAGTATTTCTATTCCTTGCCGGGGAATGACTAGGGATATTGTCGCGGCAGGCAGAGACTTGTAGAAGAAGGCGTCTGTGAGGTCTGCCAGATCAGGCTGTATGCCTGTTGAGGTACTCATCGCAGGTGTATACTTCAGTAAGGCCCGAATCAGCCTTCTATGGCCTTTCTTAACGAACGAGTCCTCTGAGTAATTAGAATGTCGTTTATGTCTCTCCTGATCATTCCTCTGAGACTCTTCCGCTAAATTCCCTGCCGTCATGCCGCGCCGGTCTTTTAGAGAGCTATCTGCGCCAGCTTCAAGCAAGAGCTCAACGATTTTTGGATGACCCCAAAGGGCGGCTTCCATCAGCGGTGTTCGTCCTTTGGCATCCGTAACATTGACATCGGAACCGAGTTCCAAAAGGTATTCGACAGCTTTGCGGTGTCCGTTAGGCACTGCCAGGGCCAGCAAGGACAGGCCATCCTTATCCTTAAACTGAAGTAGTGCAGTGGGATTTGGCGAATCCTCAAGATATCGTCTCATTTCATTCACGCTTCCACAACAAGCCGCCGATGCTAAATAGACAGAGGCACGTTCGGTCATCACTTCTTCTACTCCATCTCGCTCGGATGGCGTGATGATGTCGTAGTCCCCATCTTCTAGAGCTACGTCTTGTAGCCTGTCCGCAAGCTCAGAAGGTTCAGATGATTCGTTCGGATAGCAGCTTTCCAGCGCCTCCAGAACGTCCGCAGGTATCGTTTTCAGGCCAACCGTGCGGAATCGTTCTTTCAGCTTCGTGTCATCATCATCAGGTATCCGTTCGATTTCGAAAGATAATCCGGCAACTCTACAATCGTTTTCGAATGGGAAGATAATCACATACTCGGTACCTACATCCGAATCTTTTTTTTCACAGTGAGCCACTCTCGAATCGCAGCGCGTTAGAGACGGACCATCGTAAATGTAACGCCCCGAGTCGTCCTGAATCCTCCACCCCGTCGCGCCATGATACCTAAAGTGGCTGATACCATGGACGTGCGTTTTGCTACAGAAAGGGCAAAGAACAGTTACACTGTTATCACTCCAATGAAGGGCAATGGCAGCCAACAGTGAATCCTTTCGTCTCCGTGCCGCCGTATTCCGACAAGGGATTTCTTCCGCAGATGCTGTCTCGTAGGAAACTCCATCCGGGGGGTTATAACGAAAAAATTGCAAAGTTGAAAAATCCCACATTTCAGGACAGTAGGTATAATGGCTTTGAGGCTGGTGGATGGAATTGAAACCTGAGCAGACTTCGACAATGAAGCCCCGTGTATTGGGCACGACGGTATTAAGAAATATCATGAACATCTTGGGCACTTCAGGTTTTACTCTCTTGCCATAAAAATCTGTTTAATTGGTCATCAGCCCCCCTGCCAGGTCACGCATGAGGAATACGTAATTCAGTGAGGGGATTGCCTGCACATGAGAACAGAGTTTCCGGCCCAGCAAGGAACACCACGCCAGTTATATCATTGCTCACTGCCACGCAGTCAGCCAGGCAATTCCGCAGGTCTTGCGTGCTTGGCCATGCATTCAACCTCATGCACGTGCATAGCACATGGTCGGTGATGCAATAGCCCCGTGGCAGATTTCTGTAAATGGCGCGCATATCCCTCGAAACATTTCGTGACGTGGAAACATCAAGTCTACATGATCCTGAACCACCTATCATTGATTCCCACCACATACCATGAGGCTCCTCACTCTCGTCCTGGGAGCTTCCCCCATCACCGCCCTCACAGCCACCCAGCTCTTCCAATTCGCCAACACATCCCAGTTCGTCGAAAACATCGCGGTGCGCCCCAACGGCCACCTTCTCCTCAACACATTCGACAACGCCCGCCTGTACACCCTCGACCCCTCCGCCAAGGAGATTGTTCCTCAAGTCATTGCCCAAATCCCCGGCAGCACTGCACTCACGGGCATTGTAGACGTAGCGCACGACGTGTACGCCGTATCCGCCGGTGTCCTCAACTCCACCAATCTTTCTTTCGAGCCAGGGACTTCGAAAATCGTGCTTGTCAATGTTGGCGATTGTGCCCACGGCAAGCCTGCCTCTGTCGAGGTGGCCGCCCAGATCCCCGAGGCGGGTCTTTTAAACGGCATCGCCGGCCTCCCCAAGCATCGACACATTGTCCTCAGCGCGGACTCCAAGACGGGCCGCGTATACCGAGTGAATACCGTGAATGGAGAGGTGGACATTGCCCTTGAGGACGACAGGTTTACGCCGGGACCGCGGCCCAACTCGGTGCCTCTGGGTATTAATGGCATCAAGGTCTTCAATGGATATCTGTACTTGACAAATTCGGGGCAGGGATTTGTTGCGAGGATCAAAATCAATGACTTTGGCGACAAAGCGGGCGACTTGGAAATCATCACTACTCTACCGCTCGACCCGCCCAAAACTCCCGACGACTTTTCCATTGCCAGGGATGGAACAATTTATCTGGGCGCCCATTTGGATACGTTGGTGAAGATAACGCCGGACGGCAAGTGGGTCTCTTTGATCGAAGGCAGCAGTGCTGGCGTTTATTTGGATGGGCCTACTTCTACGGCGTTGAGTAAAGATGAGAAGACGGTATATGTTACTACGGGAGGCGGCGGCCAGAGTGGTAAAGGTGGACAGATTGTTGCCGTCAAGTTGTAATCCTGGGTGCAGACTTGGCTATCGAGCAGTATTGTATTGGCTACATCACATATAAGGAGAGTTGCTACGGCCAGGAACCCGGAAAGTCCTCCGGTCGTCATCAATGCTGGCCCGTCCACCCTTCTGCTGCTCGATCCAAGTTGAACGCAGCGCTGATGAGTGCAAGGTGACTGAATGCCTGCGGCGTATTGCCCAACTGCTCGCCACTTCGAGCAATTTCCTCTGAAAACATGGATAAATGGTTGGAAAATGAGAGCATATTCTCAAACATGTTGACTGCGCGGACAAGATATTTCTTTTCATAGACACCGGCACGGGTCATGGCCTCGACTAGCCAAAATGTGCACATGCTAAACGCACCATCCCGCCCACCAACGCCTATAAAGTCCTCATTAGCATTACATCATGGTTCCTGGGGGATACATTGAGATATTGGGCCATACCGTCATCTGACAGTTCCGTATCGTAGCGAAACACCAAGCCAGCACTGGTTAGACCGCCTTTATCAGGAGGCAGTAGAATTCGGTCCAGAGTATTGACGAATCGAGGATCACAAGGTGAAATAAAAAACACGAGGGGGGCAATGAGGATAGCCGAATCTAAAACGGTCCTATTTTCGTAGCTTTGAATAAAAGCCTTCATCTCGGTGTTGTAACCTGTAAAAAAAACTCATTAGTGATGACATCGCCCGAGGACGAACGCGCTTGACCGACCCTTTTCCATTACTTCTTCGTAAATCTTATCCCTGGCCGCCAGCCAATTGGCACGGTTGGGACACGGGAAACATCGCTTCTCGGCTAGTCGTAGGCCGCGGTCAAAGGTGACCCAAAGCATAATTCTGGAATAAGTAAAGTGCTGCTTCGTACCACGGACTTCCCAAATTGACATGTCGGGATCTGTGGTGTCAGCATTCACTTGAACAGCATTGACGGATATTACGATAATACACACCATTGACAATAGTCAACACATAGTCTAGAGAAATTAGCATGTCGGCAGAGATGTTGGACATCGGAACCTACCTAGTAATTCTCTCACTGCACACCACACATCCCAAGGGACCGGTTTGCCGTACTTATTGTATAGGTATATGGCATCCATGAGTTCGCCGTAAATATCAAACTGCTGATGAAAAGCAGCACCGTTACCAATTCGGACTGGCTTACTGCCTCGATAGCCGTCAAGATGGTCCAAGGTGCTTTCTGGGATGTCCGTCTCACCGTGGATGGTAAACATGATAGGCAAACCCCCATCGGGACCGCGAGACTTGACAAAACGCTCCATAATAAAGTCCATGTATGCATCTGCCTCGGCCCTGAATCCAAGTCGAAGGAGAATGTAAATGGTGAAGCTGGAGTCGCGCACCCATGAATACCGGTAGTCCCAGTTTCTCACTCCACCAATGTCTTCTGGAATAGAAAAGGTGGGCGCTGCCACGATGGCGCCGGTGGGTTCTGCAGGCCATTAGAACACAAGGATTAGAAGATGCGCGGGAATGTGTGTGTAATCTCACCGTAGGTCAGCATTTTCAAAATCATGAGACTTCGAGCCACAACCTCCCTCCAACGGCCCTTGTACTTTGACTGATGGTTGAAATTGTGCCAAAAGGTCTGAGTATCATGCTGTTGACTGTCAAGCACCGAAGTGGAAATCCGTGCCGTGATATGATCCGGGATGTCGTTCCTCAGCACAAAGGAAATGGCCTCTCCTTCATGTACTTGAACCCGGCCAACGAGACCTTCGCCAATCATTCCCTCCTTCTTTACCCTTTTGAATGTGATATGGGGACATCCGTTGCCGTCGTCTCCCTGCTGAAGGACCACATCCAACTGAAGTCGCACATCTTTGCCATGGAAGGTGGCAACTTTGCTCTGCGAGTCGATGTTGGGGAATAGTGTGGTCATGTGTGGCTCAAGGCCGTATCCAAAGGCGGGAAATATTTCCACATCTATGAGCTATGAGCATCTGGAAGTTTGAGCATCTGGAAGTTTCACCTTGAATGTGATCACGGCAAACTTACCAAACGTCAAGGATCCTCTGATACATTCTACTCGTCTAACGAGCCACTTCTTGAGTTCCTCTTGCACGCTTGTCGACTCACGATAGGAACTTTGTTTGTATTCTTTGGTGGTGACTAGTGCGGACTTGGGCCGAGGGAAGAAGTCGACCAGATCCACAACACCGTCCTCATGAATGTATCGGGTTTGCAGAATGCATGACCCAGGCAGGTATTGCTGTTTGGTAGTACACTGGAATTCTGCTGGAGGCGCAATACTAAAGTAGCCGCCCTTGTCCTTGTCCAACAGTCGACAAAACACGGACGGTGAGTCAAAATCGGGCCTACACCCACGTTTCAATCAAGAATTCTTGTGACGGGCAAACCGCAGGACAATCTCACCAGCACATGAAGTCCACGCTGCCATCAATGCCCACAAGCGCACAAGTGTGCATGTTGCCGATCATTCCGTAGTCCTCTATCGGCAGGTAGCCGCCGGTTTGAGCTCGCCGGGACGGTCCCCGGCGAGGTGCTGAACCTTCCGCCATTGAGCAAGCTCGTCAGCAGGACGAGTTGGGAATGGCATCAAATGATTGACAGGATTCGATCGAGATGATGATTCATTTGAGGTGATTCAAATCGGAGATGCGAGTGAATGGGAGTGGGAAGCCTTGGAAGTCTATTCCTGTCACAATACAGGGAGAAGAAGCTAGGTACCAGACCTAAGTAAGTACTCCGTAAAGTAGGTTGGTTGGTAGCTGTCAGTTTTATCTAGGTGTTGGTGGGGCAAGGTGAGCTCAGCCGACTTCCGGGGAAAGTGGGTCCAAACTTCACGATCTTGATGCTGATGCGATCTTGGAGTGGAGGAAGAGGACCTGTCCCATTTGTTCTCAACGTCTGAAGAGTACTTTCTTAGTACTAGTTGTTGAGTTTACTTTGATTCATATTCCCCACAGCTTAGAAGATGTCATTGCTCGCAGCTGCCATTTCTTCTACCAGGCCGGGAGCTTCGGGCACTAAAGCAAAATGCAAGTGTGACGCTAGATTCGGTACTGGTGTAACCGACGAATCATCCAAGCACCGATGAAAAAAGACTGTTGAGAGCAAAGCAGACGAATTAAGAGCAGCGAAAGGGGTGAATTGCTACTAGGCTGGGAGCTTTCCGTCTCTTAGCGACTGAGCGATAATCAGTTTGTGACATGATACGGTGGAGATGCGCCGATAGCGCATATTTGGTCTTTTCTTGCATTTTGATGGGCGTGGCGTCCCCATTGTCTTCTATTCATTCTTAGAGCAGGAGGTATCAAGATCCTGTCGACTGGTGGCTTTGGTGATTGTGTGAGTCTTGACAACATACTCCGTACGTTGCTATGTTTCGACCTGAACCATTTATGCGGTCGATTTGAGACAGAGTTCGGAAGAGTCACCTGTGACATTTTACGCAGCAAAGGGGTCTGGTGGTAATGTGAGAACAACCTCAAAAAAAAACCCGCGGAGTGTCTAGAGCTTACGAACTCCGTACCTCTTCCCCGCATCCACGATTATGGCTGAAACAGTGCTAGAAGATTGTTGCGGGCAGCAATGTCGGACCCCTTCTTTACCAACTTTCCAGCCCAAGGCTGGTCCAGCTTCTCGTCCGACACGCCTTCTCCGCACCGAGAAAGCTGACTGTGCCTGTGCTCGCAGGGCTGACAAACTGGGTGCTGGTGCCATGGCCATCTCAGGAAACATTGAAGCCAAATGGGAAAAGATGGGAGCGGTGGCTGGGAAAGGGCGGTCGAAAGCCCGAGGCCCAGAGACACTTCCTCTCCCCTCCATTCTACTGGCTTATGTTCACCACATCCGCTTGTGGCCGCCAGATTCGCGTAGCAGAGCGCCTGACCGATAGCGTGGCGGTGAGGAGCAACGGCCCACAAAGATCAGCCTGGCAGCTCGCAGGTCCTGTCGGACTGTGCGTGGTGATACCGTGCCTGTTCTTGCACCACGACTCCACGACACAGCGCTTTCGTGCGGAGTACAGTAACGGTTGCCACGTCTCTGAGCTCCAACATTAGTACACTATTCCATGTTGAACTCTCAAGCCACTCTTACTTTGGCGGAATAGTAGTAAGATGTCCGGTATACATACATACGCACCTCATGCAGTGGATCTTGCCCAAACTCGCGTGAAGAAGTCAGGATTGGCTGCCCAAAAGATACCAGACGTATTATTGCTGGTTCAGGCCCAGCTCCGGGGGTCTTGGTGGCCAAGCTTGTTGTCCCATCTATTACCGGGTCCAGCCGTCCGTCCATCAGGGGGGAACCATCGATTAATCATGCCGACAAAGTCAATGTTGTGCCTCTGCATGGGTCATGCGTTCGTCGTGGGTCACTGTGTTGTGCACAAGTCTGCACATGTGCAAGCAATTCTCGGCTGGGCTGTTGCAAAGTTAACGCGGTGTTGCGATGCAAGCCAGACGGCCGGAGAGCACACACATACAGGCATGCAGGAGTGTTCTGAAGAAATACTAGCATACCAGAGGGGGTCTAGACTGAGCCATGGCCCGTCCCATGGACAGGCCGTCGATGTTGAACGGTGAGCGGTCGTCGCGAGCTTGTGGGTAAAGCATTTGGAGGCTGTCGCGTGCCCTGCAATATTCCTTCATGGCGGCCGCAAGCCTGTCACTTCCCTCCCCCCAGGAGGCCGACTCGCCTTGAGACTTTGGCTTGCTAACCAACACATCAATTGCTATTGACATGAATTGCCGGTGTTTGGTCTTGTTGCTGCCCGGTCTTGATGATACTACTATTGTTCTTTCAATGTTGACGCCCGGGAGCCAAGACACCCGGAACTAGGGAGGGGGGGAGACTTGCAGCGCCGTCTAGCCCTGTGACCCAGCCCAAAGTGCTCTAGCTGCCGCGAGCCAGGGGCTACAGTTGCACGGAGTACCTACCTGTATGCACCAGTCAACTGCAAGTGGCTGGGTACCAAGCCATATGCACCAGTTGGCCTCCTAGTCGGTACCTGGAAACGCCCATGCCGCCTTCTGCCTGTGAGCACTCATCAGTCGGTCCAAGCGACGAGGTTCATCTCCACAATTCATCTGCCCCCCTCATGCAACACCAGCACTTGTTGGACTGTCCTCCGTCTGATTCTGTGCTTGCATGGCGGCATCTCGTGGCCGGCTGCACTGTTTCACACATCTCTCTTCCTTTGGCTCCGGTACATGTCCAATAAGCTCCCCTGTTGGCCTGCCATTTTACCCACCTAAACGCCGGAGCGGACGGGGAGCCCCAGTGCCGGCTGGTGGCTCAGGTGCTCGTGAGTCTCTTGACGTCCTCGCCCGTTGGGTGCCGTCAAAACCCCAGACATACAATTCCACCTGTATTGGTCAATGACTGGACCGTCGCGTGCCCGCCCCAGTCCAAGTGCGAGTGCAAGATGACATTGTACCCTGCCGAGCCTAGGAAGCTTTGTTGTGACCCTTCGAAATCTCCATCATGGCCCTAGACCCATCATCTCCCTCCTCCCATACTACCCTCTCCCCTTCCTCTCCCCTGGCTGCGTTCGACGCAGTACAGTCACCAATTTCTCCCAGCAGTGCTTCACAATTCGATCCTCGACTCGAGTTCTCTGGCGCCATCGCCCCTGCCCCGACCAATCCTTCTACTTCTCGACAAGCAGTCGGCTCAGGCTCTGCCGGCAACGATATCGAGATGGAACCAATTCCGGGTCATCGGCGGCGGAAGAGCAGTCTCATGAACCCAGTTGGTGGTCACAGTCTCTCTGGTGTGCCTGCTCCTGGCCGGCCAAGTTATTCCCAAAGCTCCCGTAACAACGCCCCTACGTCTTCTAGCCTGCAAGAGGGCTCAAAGGAACATCTCGATGTTCCTGGTCGAAGTACTGGGGAGTCTGGCTCCAAGGACGACTCCGGGAGAGACAGTTTCAGTGACGAGGATTTGCACGACGATGAGGAAATGGGGTTGACGAGAAAGGATAAATCGCGGAAGCAAAAGAAACGGAGGAGGAATACATTGCTAGATAATCGAATTGCGCGCGAGAAGCATCTTTCCGACGACGAGCGCAAGGAAGCAGATCGCAATGTCGTCAGGAGCCTGTTCATCAATGGGGTTTTGATCCTGTTGTGGTACTTCTTTTCGCTCTCCATTTCACTAGTAAGTGTCAATCTTGGATCGACTGAACCCCTCACATACCTGGATTGACCATTGGCTTGTTAGTATAATAAATGGATGTTCGACAAGGACCGCCTGAATTTTGCATTTCCTCTATTCACCACGTCTACACATATGATTGTGCAGTTTGTCTTGTCAGGCTTGGTCTTGACATTCGTGCCCTCACTACGGCCAAAAGCAGCGCACAACTCTGACGGCGGCCGATCCAGGCATGAGTCTGAGCCTCAGGGATCCGTCATGTCCAAAATGTTTTATTTTACCCGTATTGGCCCGTGTGGTGCCGCTACTAGTCTAGATATCGGACTGGGAAATACGTCACTCAAGTTTATCAGCTTGACATTTTACAGTATGTTGCATGTTCCAACAACTGCCGACAATTATATATGCTAATGCTCAGTACTAGCCATGTGCAAATCTTCATCCCTTGCTTTTGTCCTGCTCTTCGCCTTCGTATTCCGTCTCGAAACGCCGACTTGGCGCCTTGTTGCCATCATCGCAACGATGACGTTTGGTGTCATTCTTATGGTGTTTGGGGAGGTCGAATTCAAGTTTGGAGGCTTCTTCCTCGTCATCTCCGCAGCATTCTTTTCAGGGCTGCGGTGGGCTCTTACGCAGATCCTGCTTCTACGCAACCCAGCCACCTCCAATCCCTTTTCGAGCATCTTCTTTCTCTCTCCCGTCATGTTTGTCGTTCTCTTCTCCCTGGCTATTCCGGTTGAGGGTTTCGGGCCGTTGTGGGATGGCCTCAAGGCCCTCAACGCGGAATGGGGTGTCTGGACACCACTTTTCCTATTGTTCCCAGGTTGCATTGCGTTCCTCATGATTGCATCCGAATTTGCGCTTCTTCAACGAACATCCGTCGTCACCTTGTCTATTGCAGGCATTTTCAAGGAAGTCGTAACCATCTCCGCCGCGTCCATTGTTTTTGACGACAAGCTCACGCCCATCAACGTCATCGGTCTCCTAGTCACAATGGCCGCTATTGGCGCCTACAATTATGTCAAGATCACCAAGATGCGCCAAGAGGCACAAATTGAAGTCCATGAACGCCATGTGGGCGTGCACCCAACAACTCCAATCAGTCACAGCGGAAGTGGCAGCGACATGGACAATGATGAATCGGCCGCAGAGACCGCAGGTCTATTACAACGGACTGACGAGCAGGAACAGGGGATTGTCACAGTGGATGGTGACGTGCAACCGGGCCTGCCTCGACCATCAAACGTGCAATGAAAAGTGGATAGAAGAAAGCGTTTATGATGGAGATTTTTTACTTTAAGCATACTGCAAACCGGTTCTCCAGCGTTGATTTTATTTGTTTCAATGTTTTGTATATTGACGTCTAATTTTGGACCCAAGGAAAGGGCCATTCACTTTATCTGTTTTGTAGGATGGATGGAAAAAGAATAGGGTGGCGGGAAGGGCAGAGGATCTCGGCATGATTTATTTTTGCCAGTGAGTCAAGCTAGAGTGGCTCGGATATACCATTGATCTAGAGGTGGAAATACCAAAGTTCGGCCCGAGTTAGCATATAAAGGGACTAGACATTGGATACGTGTCAATGGCACGCGGTAATGGAAATGTACGTTGTGCATGCATGGTTTGGTTTCCGTGACCCATCTATAGTAACTCAAGTACTGACAATATACCGGGTGGATTTGTGCTGTATTAATATTCCAATGTTAAACGCCATACGGGATATGCGCGGGCCCCCCAACCCCAGATCAAACGCCAAAATGCCCAAATTCTGCACGAGAACAAAATGATGCATTTGTAGCATCCAACCTACAAAGCACAACGCTCTATCCCAGCAGCCGCAGACCATTCTTGGTCTTTTGTCCAGGCTTCGTCACACCCGTGGGCGCAATGGGCCCAAGTGCTGCTGGCTCATACGCACCGTAGGTGCCGCTTCCACCACCATGACCAGCGCCACCCTGCTGATTACCTGATTTCTTCCAATTACCATTCCTGTTATTCTTCCCATTCCTTTTTTCCTTGACATTGGTGGCCTTGATTTCTGTATTGGCCTTCCTGACAATCACGGGGTGGCTCTGGATGTACTGGCCGTTCATGGTCTTGGCGGCGTTGAAGAAATCATCTGCATCGCTGAAGCTGACGAATCCGTAGCCCTTGGATTTATTCGTCCGCTTGTCGCGAATTACTCGGGCTTTCTGGACAGACTTCCATGGCGCAAAGGCCTTGAGGAGGGAGTCGTCTGTCGTTTCGCCGGCGAGGTTGCCCACGAATAGGCGGAGATGGGCAGGGTCCCATTCGAGGAGGCTATCGTCGGTCCATTTTTTACCGCCGCCTTGGCGGACCACCGTCTTCTTCTTGTCGGGCTGGCCTGGAATAGCCGTTGCGGGAACTTCTGGCTTCGGGACGTCGGGGGTGATTGGCTTGCCATTCTTGTCGACGGCTTGGGTTGCTTCGCTCGAATATGCGCTCTGCCACTGGGCTATTTGCGCGGCCATTTCGGGGTCATAGTCGCTGGGGTTGGAGACGACGGCGGCTTGGTGGCCTGGCATCGGGAAAGGGTTTCTGATTTGGGGTGCTGCAGAGTACGATGTCGAACCGTGGGAATAGCTCTGAGGACCGTAGCCTTGCCGTGGTGCTGATTGATATCCATATCCTCGTCCCGCGCCACTCACTTCGGCGGGGGGTGCGCCAGAATAGCTTGAATATGTAGATTGGCCATATTGACTCGCTGTCGAGGCCCTAGGATATCCTGATGCGCCAGCGTTGTAGGATGGACCGCTCGAGTACGTATGCCCCGGGGCTTTTGAGGTTGTCAAAAAGGCAGGTTTGAAGCCCGATCGACCGGTGTTATTGTTGTTGTTGCCAGCGTTTGCTGGAGGCCGAGGTGGGAGAGAACTGGTGCCTGGAGGAGGCGGGTAGGCCATGATGAACAGAGGGAACCTATTTACAAGTGCCTTTCCTTGTTTTTGACGTACCTTGAGTTTTTACACACTCAAAGTTGATTCTTGCGCAAAAGGCTGGGCAGGTTTGGTAGCCGGGAGGCTATGTCGTGTTGTGTCGATGTCTCAAGATGTTAAGTTGTTCATGCTAACACAGCTGAAGGCCTTTCGGGACGCCTTGACGTCGAACCCAACGTTGCGCCACGGAAAATTCCAGCCACTAACCCCATCACGTGACATTTTGGAGACTTGACAGCTCCCTGGTCACCTCGAGGCTGTCAAGGTCTACTTGTTGGTAGTTGCACTTGCGATTATTCTTATTCAGAGCTGCACAATGATGGAACGTTTATTTTTGGATTACAAAGTTAGGACCTCAGCCGTCGCGACTCTTGAGGGCATCAACTAGAAGCCCGGGGTGATGATGAATTATCTCCGGTCCCGATGGGTCGCGCTTCGGCCGGCGTCCCGTGGGGGTTCATGCCGGGCCATCGTCCGAAGAAGTAGTGAGGTAGACGGGATCAACATATGCCGCACAGTTGAGATGCAAGACCGCCTTTGTTTGTTTTGAGGGGATGGGGCTATACATTCGGGCTTAAGGAGTTGATATCGGCCGAAATGATGCTCACGGCGAGATGTTGGCCAGTGCTCCTCTATGACAAAGCATTATGGGGTGTTGGCAATGTTCATGTGGTTTAACTACCTAGGTGGTCGAATACGGATCGAGCCCTCAGTCTGTTAAGTCCGTTACAGGTCTGTATGACATGCCTCAAGGTTAAACGTTGAGTGGATTGGTTGAATAGCACTCTCATTACCCGGAGAAGCACATTTACCGATCGTGTACTCCGTATCAAGAGCCTATCGCAACCTCACCAACATGGGTGTGGTATTGGACGGACCGTTGTGGTCCGGCAAGTGACTAATTACTACCCAGGTACCTAAGCAAGTACCCAGCAACCCAGGTAGTAATAAGTATTGTGGCCCCAACGCGTACTACCAACAAGCCAGCCTCGTTTGGTGAGTGAGACGGCAAAAAAGTGATGGGGCCGTTGGCAAGAGAATGATAGACTCCACTGATGGCTTGCGCGGGCTGCCAGGTGAGCAGGACAAGAATTGAAAACCACTCGTTTCCCATGTCCACGGGATGGGTTTGGTCTGCAGCCCGTGGGTTCGTCTGCGGCGGCCAATTCCTTTCACGACAAGGCCGGGGCGTTGGGGTGCATTGCAGGTGCATATTTGGGGTTTTTCTTTTCTCCTTTTGGTTCATATCCTGATACGGCGGTGATCCGGGCGTCCCGCGGCTGGGACATGCATGTTTTGGAATGGATTGTGAAGCACTTCCATAACGCGCTGGACCCCTCGGTAGCAGCTTGGCATCCCATGTCTAAATGGCCTAATATCAATGTGTTGGTTCTCACAAGCAAGGCCGACATACAATGGGGGCATTTAAACCTTTATGGACGCTTGTACGGGTAGAGCTAGGGCCAGCTCGGTCATGATGATGCAGCCACAGCAGAAACGTAGTCCTGGGGACGATGGGGCGTGGGGTGGAAAGCCAAAGATAGGGCCCCGCGCACGTAATGGTTTGTCATGTATGACTGACTGACTAAAGAAAAGAACAATTGATTTTCAGGGAAGGAACGAGACTGGAACTTGCCTTTGTGGCTTTGTGATAGTCCCCCAGTTGAGTGCTTAGGTCTCCCAGGTGTCAACTGGTCATGCTTGCAAATGCTGCTTTAATGCTCCAATGCGTCTCTGCTACACGCCACAATTGAACCTGAAAGATTCAATGTTGACGGCCCTCTGAAGCTAGCTTTTTGAAAACGGCCGTGCCGGGCCCTGATGACGATGATTCTTCCGCCCCGCCAATCACTGTTTCCTCCCTACCCGCTTTTCCGGGTCACGCCAAACTTCTCGAGCGTCAGTTTGCTGTAACAACAAGCTTCGCCTTCCAATCTCTCGACCCCGTTATAATTCTCTCATCTGCCACACCTCTCTTCCTCCGGCCCTGATCTTGTTCTCCTTTCTCCCTTAAACCACCTCCATCTGCACCTCCGTCTCCAGCTTCCTCTCGAGATATTTCCACTCCATACAATATCCCAACAACGCCATCATGTCCGGCCCCGTGTAAGTGCTGCCTCATCTACAACCCCTCCATCCAACGTCTGGTTGCTCCTGCTGTTACCCCACCACCCCGCCCCAGAGTGTGCTGTCTTGTTGTGACCTCTCAATTCCGCGCATCTTTTCGCACCTCGATGGCTGTTATCGCGGGACCTGTTTTGGTGTTTATTTTTGCGTCGTCATAACCCAGCGTCGGAGCCCGTTGACTCTCCTTGTTGACACCCTGCTCATGGTCTTGGGATAGCGCTCGCCTCGCGAATCTCAAGCTTGGCGGCGCCGAGCAACCTCGCCAACCCTTCCAGCCCGCTTCAACCTCTCCGTCCATCCAAGCTTCAGGAAGTGCTGACAATGTTTCAAGCGCTGATTTGGGCCTCATCGGCCTTGCTGTCATGTAAGTTTGTACCCTCGTCAGATCGAACGATGCCCCGGGCCGTGCGGCACCGGCTGACAGCTTGTAACAGGGGACAGAACCTCATCATGAACATGGCCGACCACGGCTTCACCATCTGCGCCTTCAACCGAACTGTCTCCAAGGTCGACCGATTCTTGGAAAATGAGGCCAAGGGCAAATCCATTGTTGGTGCTCACAGTGTTGAGGAGTTTGTAAGCAAGCTCAAGTCTCCTCGCCGTGTCATGCTGCTCGTTCAGGCCGGCCAGGCTGTCGATGACTGGATTGAGAAGCTTCTCCCCCTCCTCTCAAAGGGCGACATCATTATTGATGGTGGTAACTCTCACTTCCCTGACTCCAACCGCCGTACCAAGTACCTGGCCAGCAAGGGCCTCCGATTCGTCGGATCCGGTGTCTCCGGTGGTGAGGAGGGCGCCCGATACGGTCCCTCTCTGATGCCTGGTGGTGACGAGGAGGCGTGGCCTCACATCAAAGACATCTTCCAGGGCATCGCTGCCAAGAGTGATGGCGAACCCTGCTGTGAATGGGTCGGAGACGAGGGTGCTGGTCACTACGTCAAGATGGTCCACAACGGTATCGAGTATGGTGACATGCAGCTGATTTGCGAGGTATGTTTCCAAGAATCCTCCTAAAATTAACGCAACGCAGCCTTTGACTCAGGGACTTTTACGCTGCACTTAATGACTAAGCGTCTTCAAAATATAATCCTATTTTTAGAGGAGAAAAGTGTTATATAATACGAGAACCGCCTGGTGGTTATAATATTGACTTGACCTAATAGATTCTTGGTG